TATATATTAGTAAGATGTTGTGATTTTTGTAAAGGTGGATGATCCCTCTGGCACAGTTCATCTTTTCTAGATGCTCTGAGCTGATTCTGCCTCTCTTGTTTGTGGTCACAGAAATAGATCCATGCACTATTGATCATGGTGGCTGCTCCGTACACGCCGTGTGTACTAAAGTGTCCCCAGGAGAGAGAACCTGTGTTTGTAAGGAAGGCTACGCTGGAGATGGGACGCTCTGCCTGGGTGAGTGCTCAGTGCACGTTCTGGTGATAGCGGAGAGACCTCATCTATGCAAAGGGGAATTTCAGACTAAAAGCATCAAGATTTCAGGTTAAAGTGTGGGATAAGTCAGTTCTCCTTTCACTGTGTTCATGCAGTGATTATTTCAAAGCAAGTAATTGCTGGCTGATCTTAATTCAACTGTCTTTATGGTTTTTTGTTGAGGTGTATGCACATCTATGTGTACATGTGTACATACATGCCTGTACGTGAGGTACGTGCTCAGCATTCTCCCAAGTCATGATTAGTGAAGTTGTCATCACTGTCCCAGCACAGTGCCACCTGAAACTGGACAGAGAGCCCACGCTGCTCTTGGCATCTGTCTCACTTGAATGGCCTCAAACCAGTGTTTTGGTCTCAAACCAAAAGAACTCTGAGACGTTTCTTGCCCTGACGCATGTTGTGTAAAGATGTGACAGAGGGTGAGGGCACACTCCTGTGGTGGTGCTCTGAGTTGAGGGTGGAGCTGTGGGAGAGTGCGGTCCTCTCATACCCTTTAAAGCACACCCAGGTAGGTGTGGGATTTTCTGTGGACAGATTTATCACAGCTCAGAGACCCACATGTGTCAGGAGTGGAACTTACAACTTGCAGTTGGACCCTGCTCCTTCACTATCACAAGTCACTTTTTCACCAAAGTGTTTCCCAAGCTGGGAAAGCCCTCCATATCGCTTTCCAAACACCTCTTCAGGTCACCAATTCCTGGCTGTCTTGAGCAGCCCTCAGCAATAATGTGACCTTATTGTTTTGCTGCAGAAATCGATCTCTGTCTTGAAAGCAATGGGGGCTGCCACACCAACGCAGAGTGCATTAAAACAGGCCCAAGGAAGGTGAGTATGTAAGATGTCAGGGCAGTGTTACTATGAAGTTTGTCACAGCTGTGTAGGTCTCTCAAATACAATTCTTTCCATGGCAGTGCACTGCCTTGTGCTTATTACCTTCCACATAGAAAAGCTGCCTGGGAAGGGCATGAAAAGATTGCTGTTTCCTTGAAAGCAGATGCCTTCTGTTGGCCAGAGGCTGGAGGCAGTCTTGGGTTTTATTTCTTGTTGACACAATGGTTATTCACTAATGTAGCACTGGATGCTATACCACTTGCTTTCCATCCAGCTCAGCCATCGCATGTTTTCCTTTACTGGGTTCAAGTTTCAGACTGAGCATCTGTTCTCCTTCCAGGTTGCCTGCAACTGTCTTCCTGGTTACAGTGGGAATGGTGTGAGCCACTGCAACCCCATCAACTTGTGTGAACAGGTATGTCTGCATTTTGCTGTTACCAGAGGTGAAGGCCACAGCCTTGAGACATCCCTTTCTCCCAGCAGTTAATAGCAAGAACAGAGTTAGCCTGCTTGTTTAGAGCTGGCTGTCTTGCCTTTTCACATACCTAAGGGATTTCCTCGTGTGTTGCCTCTCTCAGTGACCCAGCTGGTACTCCCTCTTGTGGGAGATGCAGTGTGGAAACAGTGACATAGGCTTGGAGGCACATGGGCTTGTTTCTTTGCAAGTATTTTGTGTGGAACATGCTCAAAAGATTACAAGTAATCTGTACTCACAGCATCGCTGCCATGTCAGTAACTCTCTCTGAATCATGGCATGATTTTGTAATTACTGTGAGTTCTAAAGTAAGGTGTGAAAGTCTTCTTTCATGGGAGGATTTGGTGCTGAAAAGCCCTTGAAGGTTTGGGTGAGGTTTATTCTTAGGCAGGACAGATGGGAGAAATGGTTTCCTTTCCACTGGACAGGATGTAGTTAGCAACTCCATCATGCAAGTGGCTTTCACATTGTTGGTGATGCCCCTCCATGCAAGCCTTTCGCTTTTCTTGCTAGAACAACGGAGGCTGTAGTCCCTTCGGGCTCTGCAAGTACACAGGCCCTGGCACTCGAAACTGCTCCTGCTCTGGGCAGAGTGTTGGAGATGGCTTCACCTGCCATGGCAAAGTGTATCAGGTGAGAAGCATGTGCAGCATCTTTTGTGTTTGGGCCCCTTGCCCTGCAGCAAACCCCTCCTTCCCCTCCAGGTGTAAGCTGCAGGTGAGCAGACTTGTAGTGTCATACCGAGAGGTGTGTGTTGTAGAGGTGTTGTAGTGTTAAAGGTGTTGTAGAGGTTAAAGACAGGTGCTTTGGGGCAAACTATCCATCAATTATAGGTGTGTTTGGGATGCCAGCTGGGGAAGAGAATCACAGTAAAGCAACCCTGCTCCAAAGGGAGCTGCAATGTGAACACTCTGCTGCTCTGATGACATTTGCTGTACCCCCAGGGTGCTGTTTTCTTAATGAGACAGGCAAATGGGAGTGCTTTTTTTTCCCCTGTGGGATCAGGGCAGGTGTCCCCTGCGGCCATGTCAGTCCAGTCTGGAGGTTGGCAATCTTTCTCTGGCTCTGTTGCCAATCCAACAGCTGTCCCTGGGAAAACTGCTCACCTTTTCTGGTAGTGGCAAATAAAAGCTGTCACGGCCACTGCAGAGCCAGGAGAAAAGAGATGGACTCAGTTCTGTGCTTCTGCTTTTACTGAAAATTAGTGTGGTAAGGAGAGGGAGTTTACTCTGCCAAGCTTATGCCTGCCACTCTGGACTCCCAGAACTATTAGTGGCAGTACAGCGAGGTTAAAGCAGATGTTTTGTGAAGCATTTGAAGTGTCCCATGAGCACAGGATCAGTTAAACCTATGAGACAGCTGCTGCAGAAGCAGACAGCTTTCATCTCTCTGCCTTATCCATCTTGCAGCATCTGCAATGTGAACGGTCCAGGCAAAGGTCACTGCCTGCTCTGTAACCTCCATGTCAGCCATACCCACAGTGATAGCAAGGAAGGGAGGGAAAGATGGCTATGGTGTGTCAGGAGCACCAGTGTCTTGTTGGGGTGGGAGAGTGACCTGGAGTGGAAGGAGCAAGTCACCGTGCTGGCTGGTGAGGAGGAAGTGGAAGGGTCTCCACTAACACCAGCTTTCTCTTTGTTTAAGGAGCTCAGAAGGATCGAAGATGCATCCTTGTTCTTTCAGATGATACTGGTTGGTGACAAACAGCTTTGTCCATATCTCTGTGTAGAAAATTCCACTTAGGGTTTTCTGCAAAGGGTCTTGCTAACTGGAACCATGTTTTCTGTTTCCCTTCCCACAATATGCTTTTCTACTACAGGCAGAAAACATCACAGAGCTCAGTGGGGCAGGGCCTTTCACTGTCTTTGTCCCACGGACAGATTTGATAGGAAACACCACAACAGTAAGTGTCCTCCCATCCTAAGCACTGTCAGGTGTTTGGTGCACCGCAGTGTCCGCTCTGGGGCTGCTCTGCCCAGTGAAACGAAGCAAAGAGACTGCACTGCAGAGGGTTAAAGGCATCCTCCATTCTCCATCAGTGCAAGAGCAGAGGTTTGGAGACTGGCTTACTGCAGAGACAATCTGGACAGGGGTGGGCATGGCTCCTGTTGTAAGGAGACCCTTACTGGAGCCACTGCCTTGTGGTTCTCAGAGCCCCTGTGCCAAATCAGTGGTGCATGGTGACTTTTGTTACCTGTGGCTGTAAGGGGCTGGTAACAGCAAGGCTTCACAGCATCTGTGATGAAGACCTCTTATTCCTGCCGTGCGCCGCCTCCCTTCTGTCCCTTCCTTCTAGTAACTGGGATGTCTGGGCCAAGTGGAGACATGAGGGAGGAGAGATCCTTATTCATGATCCTGTGAACCAGACTGGTTCGTGACCAGCAACTTTCTGGTGTAATGGAAGATCCTAATCCTCACAAGTCCTGTTGTGCAGCTTCGCATCACTAGTCCCAACCTTTTTCCCATGGGCCCCAAATCCACCTGGTAAAGGGACAATTCCCAACACCCACATATCTCAGGTGTCACTTCCTCAAGGCCAATGTGATTGTTTGTCCTCTATCAGGGGACCTAAATGCTGGTTTTGTCAAGCTGGATGAAATTTCCCAAAGCTCTCAAATGGTTTTGAGCATTCACCTCATTTGGGGGGGGGACTGGCTTTCCTGCTGGGAAGGGTCATGGGGCTTGGGCAATCCAGGTCTCCCTCATCAGGTCTGGGACCCCCCTACAAGGCAAAGCACCACTAATGTGATATTTTTCTTGTTTCCTCTCTGAAGTTTGAAGAGTGGAAGAGCAGAGGCCTCCTCCGGGACCTGCTTCGCTACCACATGGTGGGTTGCCAGAAGTTGCTGTCCAGTGACCTGGAGGCCCGGGAGTCCCTTACATCTTTATCTGGGCACGAAATAAAGACCACAGGGAAAGAGGTAGTTCTCTGCTACAATTCCCTTCTCTGTCCCACTTGTCAGGATGTCACTTGTGGAAAGTGACTTGCCCAGGGTCCGCAAATGGCTTATAGGGCAGTGCTGTGGGTGGGAATACCTCATGGCACCCCTTCTCTCTCAGAATAGCATCTATCTCAATGAGGAAGCCAAAGTAGTTGTGAGTGACATCATCGGCGTGAATGGGGTCATTCATTTCATCAACAAGATCCTTATTCCAAGTGACCTGGTGGACCGTAACATTTCCTCAGAGATGTCACAGGTGAGTCTGAAGCAGTGACTGCACTGGTAACTGCCATGGAGAGGACAGGGCTTGGATCTTTCTGCCGACAGCTCTGATAGTGCTGTCCCTGGTAAGGCTTTCCACCTACATCCTCAGCCCAGGGCCGTGTGGGGTGCTCTTCCTCCCTGTTCCTAGCTGTGTAGGGCATGTCTGAGGACATGGATTTGGCTTGTGAAGGTGACAGTATTTGTGGTGTGGCAATATTTGGGACAGAGGGAGCTGCAAGGGAACAACAGTACTAGATGTAGGCAGGGGGATCATGTCCCATGCCAACTATCATGCTGCTTTTCCAGTGTAGAGCAGATTGCAGTGTGGGATTGCCAGTGTCTCTCTGCTGCTCTCAAACAAGTGCTAGGAGTTTATAGATCCTCCATTTTACAGTAAATAACACATTTTCTGTACAGCACAACCGAGTGCTGAGATTCATCCCAGCTCCTGCCATAGCAGTGTCTACCCAGGATAAATCAGAAAAGTGGCAGCTGCTGAATGCCAGCTCCTACCAGGACAAATCCATCGGCATGAGGATGACACAGATAAACTTGTTGTGTTTAGCTACTGTAGTTGTTAACGGTCCACTTTCTCCCTTGCATTACTGCTCCAGCTCTTGGAGAGGCATCTCTTACTGACCAGTGTTTGCTTTCTTCCCTCTGCAGCAAAACATCACGGAAGTGGCTGAGGCTTTTGGATACACCATTTATAGCAAGCTGCTGCAGGTGAGCAACCTGACTCCTGCCGCTCCGTAGGGAGGTGCTGTGTACACGTGCACGTTCAGTTTTGGCTTGTGGCTTTTCCTTTGCATCCCCCCCCTTATCTTGGACAGGACGCAGAGCTGCTTCCACTGGTTAGTGACCCCCTGCATAGACCCTTCACCATGCTGTGGCCCACAGATGCTGCATTTAACAACCTCTCAGAGAAAAGGCAGAAGTGGCTGTACCGCAGAGAGCATCGGGATGTGCTGGCCTCCTACCTCAAAGCACACATGATCAGGGACACAAAGGTAAGTGTGACAACAAACAGCTTCCTACCTCCTGAGGCCACATGTGGTGCCACCACCTGCCTACGGGTACCCCAGAGCAACCTTGCCCAGTATTTTGCTGCTGTAGAACATGCAGCATGTTAGTTGTCTTGAGAAGACCCAAAGCTGTTTGAGCATTTGAGACAACTACCACTTCATCATGAACCTCTGATGCAGCGTGGCTGAGCTGAAACTTTCTGTCTTCAGCTTCTTGGGGCGGCCACATCACCCCCAGAGCAGCAAGGCAAGGCTCACAAACAGGCTCTTGTCTATAGGGGTGCTGAACAAGGAAAGAGTCCAGCTGAGCAAAACCAGGGTCTGCTTACACATGCTGGTCTCTCACTGTTCATGAATCTGAGACTAACCCAGTGTGGTTACGCTGTTCCACCCACATGCTGCCATGTCATGTCCCCTATCAGCGTGGCTGCTGGACTCCTCCTCACCAGGCACCATTCCATTAGAAGGATGAACTGCCAGTTTTGCCTGTCTCCCTCTTCATGTTCTCCATTTTCCCTCTTAGATTGTTGCTGGTAACGTGCCCCAACTCAAATCCATACGGACCATGCATGGCTCCACCATCTCGTTCAGCTGCAGCAAAGCCCACGTGGTGAGTGACGGTGATACTGGGCTCTGCTTTCCACTGAGCAGGTGTCCCTGGGCATAGCCACGGGTCAACTGATGCTCTGTGTTGGTCACCAGTGGGAAGTGAACACAGAGCTGGGGTGCTTGCAGGCTGAGATGTCCCATTCCCCTGACTATGGAGTAGTCTCTACAGAAGCCTGTAGAGTCACAGGACTGTGGCCAGCTGGCAGGGAAGTGTGGATGTGTGTGGTACCTGCACATGCACTTCCCGATGACCAGGTTGCGAAGCCAACCACATGGTGCCATGACCTTTACAGAGCACGTGGTGCATGGACAGAGGCCATTTCTTTTAGGAGAGATGGCCATGAAAAGTGGCAATCGGGAAGGGTGGCCACGGACATGAGCACAGATAGTTTGGAGAGTTCTTGGGGTGACTGAGAAGTCATGGCAGCCAAAAAGGGCAACTTTTGGGTGGTGCAGCCAGGATGTAGGGTGTGCCAGGATAACAAGTTGCTTTCTTTCTCTTGTAGGGGGAGCTTCTGGTGGGAAACGGGGATGCCACCATCATCCAGAGGCACATGGAATTCAATGGGGGCATTGCTTATGGCATCAATAGACTTTTGGAGCCACCAGATCTGGGATCCCGCTGTGATGAGTTCGTCTTTGTTGAACTGCAGGTGAACACTTGCAATGAAACTAATGAGGATCTGTGCCATCTGTTGAGTCTCACGCCTGGGAAGAGGCATGGCGGGGGCTTGCTGCCCTTCCTTGGCAGAGCTCCGAGCAGCTGAGAGAGGCAGAAGCACATATTGAGCTGTTGTGGGGTTTCTTTCTCCCCTCCACAGGGATCTACAGAGAGCTGCGGACCCTGTGGATTGGAGCCACCCTGCCCTGCTGGCTCTGTTGAACAGGTAAAGCTCACAGCTTTGCAACTAGGGAGGCCTGTTACAGGACTGATGACAATACCCAAGGCCTGCTCGTGTTTTAGCAGCAAAATGAAGGCACGCCTGCATGTGGCAAGTCCCTCGGCTCAGTCGCATTGTCCACGCCTTGCCCTGAGTCACGGGGCCCCATAGGGCAGGAGCTGGGCTGAGCAACATGGGGTCGGGGGCTCCAGTGGTCTTTGCTTGGTCAAACCCTATATGGGTGACAGCAGCTCCAAGGGTCCCTGCGGCAGCACAGGGGCTTCTCTGGGTGCTTTACAGCAAAAGAGCTCAGACTGGCCGCTGAAAATAGACCATGAATCAGGTGGTGAGCAGCCTTGGAGGGCAGTAGTTGTACCGTACCCTCACTGCGTCACCCCTTGTTTCTCTCTGCCGGGCTTCTGGCGTGTCCCTGAGGTACATCTGTGGCTCCTCTGTCACCAGCCCCTTCACATGTTAGGAAGCCTCTGTTATTTGTCATAAAACTGAACGAGTGGCACAAGAAAAGTCAAGGTAAGACATCAGGGACCAATGCAGCGAACTCTGTGTTTTGCCTGTTTCCTCACAGGGGAAAACCAGGCACTGCTACTATTATGGAAACCCTCTGTGGAGAAACACTTTTCTGTTTCACCACAACTCCTTGTTACGACGATCCCGGCTGCCCTCGCCATGGGACACCTTCAGAAGACCCACCTTTCCCAGGGGGCTTCAGAAAAAAGGCTGCAAGAGGAGCTGCTTTTCCAGCCAGTGGGTCCCTCAGTGCTGTGCGAACCACTATGGCCGTGACTGTTGGGGTAAGGAGCCACACGACCCTTTCTCTTGTGGGAAGGTCAAACAGCAGATGTCTGGCGTCCGTGAATGTGCTTCCCTTGGGAAGGGTGGGCAAAACCTCAGGCTGGGAGCCCCAGTTTGTAGAGGGTGCAGGGCAGCCCCCTGGGAGTGTGTGTGGATGGTATCGTAACAGGGAATTCCCTTTCCTTGGAGAACCACTTGTCCCCATGGACAGCCCTGGGCACAGGGCTGCAGGGGTGGCTGTGAGACGTGGCACTCACCCCTAGATGTTGCTGATGCTCAACCATTCTCCAGCGTTTGCCCTCTGAGATTTTCTGCGTGGGCAGCTTTCACATCCTTGGATGAGTCTGCTGCCAGGTCAGCATGGGGCGGGCCAGCACAAACTCAGCATGCTGCAAGAGGGTCATCCCAGGCTATGTAAAATGTGTCCTTCTTGCCCCCATTCCTAAAATTTATTGTTATAGGATGTCCCCAGCACTCATTCCCAGGGCTCTGTTGTCCAAGCACCCCATAAACAGCAGCTCATGTGGTACCAGGCTCCCCTCCAGCACAGGGTCACTTTGTCACTGCAGCCTCACTAAGGTGCCCCATTTGCAGCATGCCCAGGAGGGCTGGAGGCACCGTGCGGTAACCGTGGCACCTGCGATGACAAAATCAGTGGCTCAGGGAGATGCAACTGCAGTGAAGCTTTCATCGGGACCAGCTGTGAGCTGTGCGCACCGGGCAGATACGGGCCAGACTGCCGAGGTAAGGGGGAAGCTGTGGGGTGGCAGCAATGCAGGGGGTTGTGCGGAGGTGGCTGTGAGACCACTTGGAGAGGGGGTGGGTGCTGGGCTGCCCTCTTTGCAGCTCACAGCACGGGAGTCGGTGCTGCCACATATGCATCAGTCCCAGTAATGCTCAGGTCAGACCTCTGGGGTTGGGGCCATCCCTCTATGTGCGCTCAGCAGGACAAGCACTTGGGCAAACATAGTTTGCCATCTCAAACTACTTCAGGTGTATCACAAAATCACAGAATCGCTCGGTTGGAAAAGACCTCTGAGATCGTCACGTCCAACCACTCCTGTCTACCCACTAAACCATATCCCTAAGTACCTCGTCTACCCGCTCTTTAAATACATCCAGGGATGGTGACTCCACCACCTCCCTGGGCAGTCTGTTCTCAGTGTAGTTCGAGAAGGCTGGGTGCAGGTGCCAGGATCCGTGCTGCTGATGGCCTCACTTCTGTGCTGAGGCCCCAGGGTCAAAAACTTATTGTTTGTCACAGCTGAGAGCCCCAGGCTGGCAGAAAGTGTTATGGCATATTTTGGGCTATGGGACAAACCCACAAGTTGTGGTTAACCCCGTACAGAAAGAGCATCTCCTGGGACGTGCTCAGCAGGGACCGGTGCCCCTGTGAGGCAAAGAGAAGGAAAAGGGGGTTCTCCATTTCCCCATCCCAAGCTGGGCCCAAAGTCTCCAGGAATGTTCTTCATGGCTGTTTGGTCGCAGAGGCTCAGAGTGGAAACCACATCTCTAGGAATTCTCAGGGGAGGGGAACAATGAGGGTCTGTGGGTGCAGAGAGGCTTCCCCTCCTTCACAGAGGGTGTGATTTGCAGGGGGAGGCCAGGGCTGGCAGTGACAGGGAGGGATGTGTGCGTGCTGCTGTGCCTGCCCTCATGCACTGCCCACACGAGCTGCAGTTCTGCCGTGTCTGTGCCATGGCCTGAGCATGGCCTTTCGCTGCCACCAAGGCAGATGCCACGACAGTGTTTTCACCCGTTCCTCACAGAGTGTAACTGCACTGAGAATGGCGTGTGCAACGCAGGACTGCATGGCGATGGCTTCTGCTTCTGCAGCGAGGGCTGGACTGGAGACCACTGTGAAATCAGACAAGGTGAAGGATGTCAAGCCCCATCACCCGCTGTTCTCTGCAACTCAGTGCTGTGCAGCTGCTTTGGCAGCAGCTGGATTGTTCAAGCAGCTGCTCAGAAATATCTCCAAAAAGGAGCTCCCAGTTGCAGGGCTTATCCTGAGAGCTGGCCTGTGCCGTTGAATTTCACAAGGGTTGGGGTGGTAAGGAGGAGGAAAGCTACCCTTGATCATGAACAAGTTCCTGAGCTCAGAGGTGCTCCAGGAAGAGCCTGAAGGCGAGCTGCAGGCGTGAGGCTTATCTGAAAGAGTCCTCTGGGTTCGGCTAAGGCATCTGCAGAAAAGCACAGGAGGAAAGAGAGGGGAGCATGGGGCAGGTGAGGGGACAGGCAGCCATGCCAGTGTTGCAGCCCTTAGATCATTCTCCTGTGTGTGTTCTGGTTTCAGTCGTGACACCCACCTGCTCTCCACCGTGCCACCCCCAGGCCGTCTGCCGCTCCGGCAACCTCTGCGAATGCGACCTTCACTACGAAGGAGATGGGAGAACCTGCTTAGGTAGGGGGGAGCCAGGAGGGGCTGGGGTGGAGCAATGGTGAGCAAAGGGGACAGCGGACAAACAGCAAGACAACAGGTGACCGTCTCCTGAGCTCCAGGGAGGGTTGCCGTATGTGTGGGACAGCTGGCAGGAGAGACAGCCAGCCAGAGACCACCAGGATCTCTAGCAGGGTGTTCTAGTTACCCGAACACTTTCATCCCCGCAGTGATCGACATGTGTGGCCAGGACAACGGGGGGTGCGCCGGGCACGCACAGTGCACTCAGGTGGGCGTGAACATCTCCTGTGCCTGCAGCCCTGGGTACAGAGGCGACGGCTACGTCTGTGAACCCATAGACAGGTGTGCGGACGGCAGGAACGGGGACTGCAGTGAGCACGCCAACTGCATCAGCACCGGGCCGGTGAGTGCATCCCCAGGTCTGGGCAGACCTGCCTGCCTGGGAGCACAGCGAAGGCAGCCGTGGGATGCTTCAGGCTGTCCTCTGGTACCGCAGTCCCCTCGGGCCTGCACCTCCTCTCTGGTCCCCTCAGGTATTGCGCTCATCCTGCAGGTCCTTACTGCCAGGCAGGGTCCATGGCCTCACTCTGCTGGTGACAGTCCTGCTGATGTTATGCCGAGGCCATTTTTTCTCATTCCTCTGTCCAAGGGGCATAAGCTGTGTCAGTTGTGGCATTTCTGGACTGTTCTGGGGACTGCAGGATGGTCCTTTGAGGATGATGCTGGCTATTTTTGCAGAGGAACCAGAGCTGCTCACTGCAGGCCAGAAGATGGGACTGAAAACATGATGTAGTGCAAGAATCGAGAGCCACATACCTTGAAGCTCAGCTGTCCTTCAGACAAAGATTTAATGTGACACTTTTTGGTTCATGTGCAATTGGATGTGGGTGCAGGACAGAGCCCGTGTGGCCTGTCATAGTCCTGGCAGGCTGTGGAAGCATTCTGAAGGCTCATCCCTATCTTCACAGGGATACAAGGACCCTCAGCCAGCATCTCACAGAATCACAGAATGTTAGGGATTGGAAGGGACCTCAAAAGATCATCTAGTTCAATCCCCCTGTGTGTTTGCACCCACACAAATGCTGGCCTTCCTTTGTGCTGCAGAATGAGCGGCGCTGCGAGTGCAAGCGGGGCTATGTCGGTGATGGGATCCAGTGCCTGGAAGAGGCCGTGCCCCCCACGGACCGGTGCCTGGAAGACAACGGGCAGTGCCATCGGGAGGCCATTTGCACCGACCTGCACTTTCACGGTGAGTGTGCTCCATCCCGCAGTGCCAAGGCTGATGTTCGTGGAGAGGTCACACGCCCTCATCCTTCACCTTCTGGCTGGGGCAGAGCTGGGGGTGGGATGGCCAAGGGGACAGGGACTTGTCTGTCTCGGGCTGGTTTTCGCATTCCCCTTTTCTTCTACGTATTTTACGGGTGAGGACAAGCCATCCTTGTCTGCTCCCGTGTGACGCGTGAGAGCCTCTCAGAGGAAGCCGTGCCACATCCCGCCTCGCCTTCGCCCCTCGTGCAGCACAAAGCACCCATGGTGCTGTCTGTGCCCACACAGGGAACCCATGCGATTGCCCTGGGAGGCTGCTCACTCTCTCTACTGCATTGATGCTCCCTGACCTTGGTATCTTGCAGATAAGACCATGGGTGTATTTCATCTGCAGTCACCCCGAAAAAAGTACGACTTCACTTACGAGCAGGCTCAGGAGGCCTGTGCCACAGAAGGAGCTTCCCTGGCCACTTTCCAGCAGCTCTCGGCAGCACAACAGGTCAGGGCAGGGATGCAGAGGCCGGGCAGAGGCCACCTCTGTCACCTCGTGGGGTGGGGACTTGCAGTGCTTCTCCCTGGGCCCTGTCCAGAGGTGGCGAGTCTGTGACGTGTGGGTGGGCGACCGGCCAGGCCCTGGTTCCTTCACCTCCATCCATGAAACCAAGAGGGCTGGTGGGTCTTGCCAGTCGCCCTGGGGTGAGGCCTCTGGCAGTGCCCAACCCTTTAGGTGCTGGGGGAAAGTCAAATAAGGCTGCACAGAGGGAATGTGCATCAGGGCAGGAAACCCACACCAGAGGTATTACTTTTAATCTAATAATTCATTTTCCTCTGCTAGATGGGATTCCACCTATGCTTGGTGGGTTGGCTGGACAACGGCACAGCCGGATACCCCACAGCCTACCCCAGCCCCAGCTGTGGGGCAAACCGAGTGGGCATTGTGGACTACGGCTCCCGAAGCAACCTGAGCGAGACCTGGGATGCATTCTGCTACAGGGAGAAGGGTGAGTGGCGCAAGCACGTTTCCTGGGGGAATTTCATGTCGGGCACAAGAGGTGTGTCGGAGCAGCCTTGGAGCGTGAGGCCCCATCAGGTGGGCACATCCCCCTCTCCCCTTGCCCCTGTCAGGAGGAAACGTGCTGAAGGGCATCCAGAAGTCAAGAGAGAGGTGGTCAGTGTAGTCAGCATCGGCAAGTCGAGTCACATCTTGGTGTTCCTCTGCAGATCTGACGTGCACCTGCCGTGACGGGTTCGTGGGAGATGGGTATTGGTGCAGCGGCAAACTCCCCGATGTGCTCGCAGACCACGCGCGCTTCTCCACCTTCTATTCCGTAAGCGATGCTCTCCTGGTTCTTCAGTACGCCGGGAGCCATCCGCAAGGCAAAGGGAGGGACTGGCTGCAGCAGGAAGAAGTGGGGGTTTGGCCTCTATGCGGGGTGGAGGATACGGACACAGAGGCAATTTCTTTCTGGAGCTGGGGTTGGTAACGGCCTTGAGCTCCCTGCAGCATGCACATGGGGAAGATCTGCTGTCTTTTCCAGATGTTGCTTGATTTTGCCAATGGCACAGAAGAAGGACTGGATTTTTTCAACTATTTGTCTGATGACTCCACTCCCAAAACTCTCTTTGTCCCCCTGAATTCTGGCTTCGCAGACAATGAAGTAAGCAAGCAGGGATAAGCGGCTGCTTGAGGGCGCATGGAACAAACTATCAGGGCCCCAGAGGAGAGTAGGAGTCCACCAAAGCCGGTGTGATGGTGATGTGAAACAGTCTGGGGAAGGAGGAGGAATTTAGATCAGAGAGGCCCACTGGAGGTCCAGCCTCTCACTCAGGAGAGCCATTTAGGTCAGGTTGCTCAGAGCCTTCTCCCGTTGAGCTTGGACTGTTCCTAAGGCTGGCAGGCCTTGCTTCTCTGTGTGAGTAGGTTTGTGTCATGTTGCCCTTGAGCTGAGCTGTCTTGTGGCCATGGAGAGTGTCTGAGCTTAGGCCAGATGGGGGCTGCACACAGCAGGAGGGAAGGGGTGAGAGCCACCTCAGCCATTCCTGACTCCTGCTCTCCCTGTTGCTTTTTCAGACACTGACAGGAGAAGACCTGAAGCTCCATGTGTCATCCAGCAACATCGTCCTCTTCAGCTTCAACCTCACAACGGGCACCATCATCCCATCCCAGTCAGGATATGACCTCCATGTGTCAGACCTCCCCGTGGGCAACAGCACAGAGCACGCGGTAGGTTCAACCTCGACAGAGGTAAAACAAAAAACCCAAAAGTTTTCACCGCATCATTTGAGACAGGGAACGGGGGGAGGCTTTCTGTCAGCCCTATCATCTCTGTCCTGTGCTGTAGGGTGCCAAAGGCATCAATGACACGATGATCGTAGAGTGGGACATCATGGCTTTCAATGGCATCATTCATGCGATTGCGGAGCCACTCAAGGTCCCACCGCCCCGTGTTCATCTTGGTCAGGTGAGTGCCGAGGGCACAGACAGGGGAGGAAGGTGCTGAAACAGCTGGCGCCAGGCCTGAGAATGGATGAGGTGACCAAGTCATCCCAAGGACCAGGGCCTCTGCTCTCCAGGCTCATTTTGACCTGTGGTCATGGCGAGGAGCAGAGTGGGTGGCTGGGCGGGAGAGCCCGCC